CCCCCGGCGGGTAAAGGGGGGGCCTGCGCCCAAAGAGCTGGCTGGACTTAGAGGCAACGCTCGCGTGCCTCATCATTATTCTCATTTGGAGTCAGGGCTGGTTGTTCACTTGTCATTGCGATCTGTCCGGGCGGAACAATTTCGAGTCATGCGCCAGCGCCATCGTGACTCCCATGTGGAGTCAACGAGTCAACGAGCCAGGCTGGCTCGACCAGCGACTCTGAATAACATTCGGAATGGCGCGCGCACGAGCGGGGGAAAGGTCAGCCAGCGACGAGCGCAAAGCAGCATGCCCTAGGCCACTGCGGCGGCGGAAGACGAGAAGGAGGAAGAGAACGAGGAGGACGGGCGGAGCGAGGAAGGATGCGTCGGGGGAATTAAGAACGAGGAGGATGAGAAAAAGGGAGGGGATGAGGAGGGGATAAACATGCGAGGGCGACGGACAAAGAAGACAGTAAGGGTATGCAGGCAACGCGGGCGCACCCTGGCAGCTCGGCGCTCTGTGCATTTTGCTATTGATCGTGTTCCTCTTCTCCCCCCACTTGCCCTCCTCCTCCTCCTCCTCCTCTTCCTCCTCCTTTCCCTCCTCCTCCTCCTCCTTTCCCTCCTCCTCCTCCTCCTCCTCCTCCCCCCTCCTAGTCACTTAGCGAAATCAGCTATGCCCGCCCGTCGAGCAGCTGGCCTTGATTCGCCGACCCCGCCGAAGGCGACAGCTGCACAAACAAACGCCCCAAGACATTCTGGCCCATTGCGTTCCCCAGCGCGTGGCCGAAACACACGCGGCCCGGGCCCATGCCTCGCGCGCGCGCCTCCTCATCAACGGCGGTCTTGCGGCGCCGGGATGCCAGCCAGATACCAGGAGATGCACCGCGCGAAGCGGTCAAGCAGGGTATCATGTTGACCTTGCAGATCAACGCGCTGGAGCCCGCATCAACGGCCACCTCGTGTTTGGAAGTGATCTCGGGGCCATCGTAGGTCTTATTGCGCAGCTTAACCTTGGGGGCGGGCTGCTCCATCATCCTTCCCCCCTCCTCGGGCCCCCTCGCTACGGATCCGGGGCCGCGCTCTGACTGGCCGGGAGTGCCGGGCGAATCCGGCGATGGCAGCGCGGGGCCTCGCATGAGGCCCCACGTGGCGAAGCCGAGGCAAAGGCAGCAGCGTCGGCGCCATTCCGACGGCGACCGCGACCGCGACGACCACGTCGACTAAGGACGACGATGCAAAGGTGGATAGCCCCCGAGAGCCCCGGCCTGTTTGCGCTGGCGGTTCGCCGTCGCCGCGAGCTGGCCGTTGGCGACCCTCATGGGGTTGGGGGTCGCGGCGAGGTCCGGAGTGGGCGAGGGCCTCATGGGGGGGGGCGGTCAGAGCAACATCTTCGTCCTCCTGCTCCTCCCCCTCCTCGGCCTCCTCCTCACTTCCTCCTCTTCCTCCTCCGTTGTCGTCTGCCCCTCCTCCCCATTCATCATCACCCCCCCTGCTCTTCATGTCCCTCTCATGTTTTTGCAAACGTGCAGTGGCCCGCGGGAACTTGAAGGGGTGTTTCGTCTGGCTCTTGAGCGTGCCAACGATGCGCACGCGCGAACGATGAAGCGGCGCGCCGTGTTCCCAAGTGCGAAACATCTGCTAGCGGACGTCGCGCAGGGGCCGGTTATTCTGGCCTTTGATGTCCTCGAGCTGCTTCAGGATCCAAGCAAAGTATTCGGAGTGAATCTTAACCTACCCTGGGACATTTTCAAGTACGAAGGCCCACGGCTGCGCACGCCTGCGGTACTTGATAATGTCTATGATGACGTCGCCCCGCTCATCATTCTGTCCGAGGTGGCGACCACTCTGTGAAAATGGCTGGCAAAGGGAACCAGCCGTGAAAAGATCGGCCCGCCCACGAGGGCATCCAGGCAGTGGCCTTATCACGTGTCCATCTCCTTGCCCTCACACCTCCCCGCCCGCCATCTCCCTCCGCGGCCCTCCTGCGACTGGGGGGTCTGACGGGCCGCGTCAGCGATGCAATGGGCGAACGGAGCGCGCCTCGTGAACAAGGTGGACGAAGCGTCGTCCAAGATGAAATCGCAGGCGGGGAGATTGGCGGCCAAATGCTTGCGCAATTGCACCTTCTGCTCGCACATGAAGACGGGTGCTGCGTTCACGCCGATGGCCTCCAGGGCCAATTCGTCAGTCCCCAACCCTGTGCAACAACTCCCGGTGGTCACCTTTGGCTTGTGAGTAGTGGGCTCAACAGCTGCTGCTGGGCAACGCCGAACCGTCGACGACATGGGGGCGGCAGCTGCTGGGCGCCGAAGAGTCGTCAGCGTCGATGAGCCAGCCGAGGACTGTTTCTTGACAAGAACCATCGCTGGGTTTCAACGGGCCTTCTTCGCAGGCGAGCCGACGACATCCCAACCCAGGTCCATGAGGCCGACGGGCGTGCCCAGAGTTGGGGGCACAGAGAAGCGGGGGCGCACGCAGAGCCACAACAGCTTCCATACGAGTCGAAACGCAGTCAACGCTTTAAACATTGGAGCTTATTTGAATCATCATCAGGTCACCCCTCCTCCTCCCCCTCCTCCTACTTCTCCTCTTTTAACGCCTAGCCTTGCCGATCCCCCTCCTCCTTCTCCTGGGGCCCTCCTCCCCCATTCTCCCCCTCGCCCTCCTCCCCCTCCTATTCCTGCGCATCCCTGATCGTCTCAACTCGCGTGGGCGTCGGTTATGGATGGGTTGGTGGGGGTGCGTGAAGCGTCAGGAATGAGGATTTTTGCTTATGGCCCTGTAAACGTGGGCGCTGGCGCCAAAACATAGTCGGCTCCAAATATGAATCCAGATCCCGGCCCCTCCTCCTCAAGCCTCCCCCTGCCAGGGAGGGCCGCGGGGGGCGACGGCCGCTCGGGGGCCGCGACTTCCCGTCGGGAGGGCCGCGACGGCGGCGACGGCGACGGCTGCGACGACGACGGCGGCCACAACCAAGAGGAGCAGAAATATAACAAAGGGACGGGGAGGGCGAGGGGGGCGAGGGGGGCGAGGAGGAGGAGGAGGAGGAGGGGGAGGAGGAGGAGGACGAGGAGGATGAGGACGCGGCTGCGGGGGCGGAGGCGGATGAGGAGGAGCAGGAGGAGCAGGAGGAGGAGCAACGAGGGGAACAGCCGCCATCGCTCGAGGCAGGAGGAGGGTGGATGAGGGTGGAATGTGAAGGATGCTGATTTTGCTGATGAGAAGGAGCTGCAGTAGCGGGAGGAAGGGGGGGAGAAGCACGAGGAGAAGGAGGAGGGGGGGGAGGAGGAGGAGGAGGAGGAGGAGGAGGAGGAGGAGGAGGAAGAGGAGGAGGAGGGGGGCTAGCAGACGAGCCAGAAGCCCCTTGAATGCCTCTCGGAGTCTTCTCGCTTGATGTATTGTGGAGGCCTTGTGGAGGCCTGTCGGGGCGTCTTGGGGCCTCTCGGCGGCCCTGGGTGCGTCTTTGAAGAGCGCATTGGGTGCCTCGGGGAGCCCCCTCGCCCATCTTGGGGGTCTGCTCCTGGCTAGGGCACGCCGTCTTGAAGCGCCGACGAAGCCGTCCTTCCCGATAAGAACCCCGGGGGGGGGGGGGGGCCCTGCGGGCGGGGCGCGGCGCAAGCCGTGCAGTAGAGCCAACTCGTCGTGAGACAAATGGTCGCGCTTGTCATTCCACGCGCGCTCTGTCATGAACGCACAAGCGTTGACGCCATTCTTCTTGAGGTTGTCAATTATGCGGATTTTGCGTTCCCCCTCTCGCTGCCCCTCAATTCCGAATCTTTCAACGAGGAGGACATGGCCTAAATCCACTTCGTGGAGAGCAAGCGGCGGCCCAAATTTCCCCGAAGCTACCTCCTGCAAATGTTTCTGCCATGCGGCCTCCGCATGGGGGCCTGGCCTCGCCCCGGCTATCGCGGCGTCATTAATCGCCCGACATTGGTGGAACAATTCATCTAGGCCTTCCCTGCATTGCGCGGCAACGCCGGATCAGGCAGTTGTCGCCCGGCGCCACCAGCTCCATACAGGGCCAGAAACAAGGGAACATCGGGATAAGTCCCCCATGGAATTGCCGTCTTGGTGGCCTACGGCCCAAGGCCGTGGATTCCCCAGGGCGGGTCGGAATTTCGCTCGGAGGGAATCGACCCACTGCAGGCGACGGTCCGACAGCGCCGCGGACCGAGCTTTCCAAAAGCTTACAGTTTCTTCCCTCTGGGCGGCCACGCCTGCGGCGTCGCTCAAAATCCTCCGGATATTGTCTGAAATGTCGGGGCCGCGGGGAGGGAGCGGGTCGCCCTGCGGGCGGGCCTTCAATCCGACGCGGGCGTTTTCCCCCGGACCAACAGGGGGGCCCCGGCCAGACACACGGCGCCGCAAATGCCCGCCGCCCTCCGGGCGAGGCGGAGCGAGGCGGACGCGCGCGTCAGCGCAGGCAGGCTGGTCGGCAGGCGCGCGGCCGGCGGCCCTGTCCGCGGCGCCGCTAGGGCCCGTGCGAGCGCCGTTCCAAAACCTGCCCTGCGGGCCATCCCTCGCGGGGGTTGCAAGAGGTCGGAGAGGGGGGTGGGCAGGCGGGGGGGGGCGGGCAGGGGGGGGGGGAGGAGGGTGGGGGGGCAATCTGTCCACCTTGACACCGCGCCTGCGGCGCAAAGCGTTGCGCGCTGCTATCCGTTGGCCTGCGGCCGCCATCATTCGCGCGCGCAGCGCTAACCTCTGCTTCGCCAGGTACGCGGCGATGTGCATCGCCATTCAAACGACTGCCCCGCGGGCGACACCCTGCGGGGATGATAGGAAGAAGCGGGAAACGAGGAGGGGGGGGCAAAGGGGGCGAAGAGGCAGGGGGTCAACTTGTCCACCCTGAAAAGGCGCCTGCGGCGCAAAGCATTGCGCGCCGCCATTCGATGGCCTACGGCCGCCATCACTCGCGCGCGCAACGCGCGTCCCTGCTTCAACGGGTACGTGGCGATGTGCATCGCAGGGCCCTGCGGGCGTTCACTTCCAAACCTTGCCATTTCCCATCGGGCCGGCCCGCGGGCGCGGGCGCCCGCGCTCCGGGGCCAGGGGCGGCGGCGGCAGCGCCGCCGCCTTCCCGCGCGCAGGCTGGCTCGCGTGGCCCTGAGGGCCCCTGCCCGCGCCCCAGCCGCTGCGGCCTGCGCCGTCGCCGGCCTGCCTTGCCCTGTTGCTCTGCTCCTTGACGTCGCTGCGCAAGGCGTGGCCGACCTTCTCGAAGCTGGCGCCCGGATCTACCGAGGGATCCTTGTGCTCGATCTGCGTGCCGAAGCGGAGCCATTCCTGGCGGTCGTACTCGTGCGCGACCGTGACGCCGAGCTCCTGCGCCATGTGGCACAAGTCGAGGAAGCGCCTGGGCAACCGCTCGGAAGTGACGGCCTCGCTGTTGAGGTCCGCCTGGAGCGAGAGATGGGGCAGCACCCTGGCCCACCAGCAGCTGGTAAAGTGGGCGAACGACTGAAACGGCCACCTGGCCCTTCTGCGGCGGGCGCAGAGTGGCGTCCGACGTCCTCTTCAGCGACTCGACGTCTTTCTGCAAATCGCTGGTGACCCACGGGAGCCGCCCGTGGCTGGCCTTGCGGCGGCTCCGCCAAAGCAGCCGCTGAAGGGGAGCCAGCTGCTGCAGGTGCTCAAACGGCAAACCGTTGAGCCCGTAGCGCTTCAACCCCTTGCACACGTTCACCGAAGCGGAACCCTCGTCGTCCGAGTCGGATGACACCGAGCGGTCCCCGTGCTGCTTGGCGCCGCCGGCCCTCGCCCTGCGGGCGATGGCCCGGAGTGTGGCGACGGACTCCGCCTGGAAGTCGGCGCCTGCTGCGGCAGCGCTCGGGGCACTGCCGTCGCTGCCAGCGGTCTGCTGTACCTTCTCCACGACGGCCGAAGCCAGCAGAAAGGCACGGTGATCTAGATTGAAAGTGAGCGGATCACGGCACGCCGTCTGGAGGATTTCCCGGTTCACACATGTGAATTGCCACGCCTCGTGGAGGCCAGCATCCTCAAGGAGACCGGCGACCCTCAAAAACTCCAGTTCAGGACGCCCTGCGGGCTAAAGGCACGAAGCAAAACTTCGGAGCTCTTGCCCGACGCCGTACGGCGAGGCTTTTCCGGAAGCTCGAGGTCTACCAGTGAGGGAGAGCGCCCCTTCGCGGGGGCAGCAAAGCCAGCGGCTACGGGGCTGCCGGGCTCGCGGCGGCGCCGCGAGCGGGAGCGCCGGGAGGAAGGGCTTCGGGCCGACTCCCGGCGAGCATCGCCCGGGGGCGGCATCGCGCGCGGGGCGGTAGGGGGGGGCCCGACTCTGTGCTTGACCCAAAATCGAGGGATGGAACCCCGACTCTCTGCTGGGCCAAGCGAGCGCGCGCGGCAACCACGGGATCGGAGGCCTCGTGCCGACACCCTAACCAGATCCCATCCAATCAAATCGAATTTCGAATTCGAGCCACCCCGACTTCCTTGCCAACCAAAGGGAGAACCTCCAGTACGGAGACAACGTATTCAATTCGAACCGCGACCCTTCCCAACGAATTTTCCGAGATGTTAAGCACGTTTACGTCTGCAGAACACTCGCGCAGAACAAATTGTAGGAAATCACGAACAACGCTTTCCTACGTTCCAAATGTGCGAACGTATCGAGTGAAAGCGACGCAGCGAATTGTAGGGAAGCGCGAACCACCATGTCCTACAATTGATTTGGCCACGAACCAATCCCACCTACAATGCCGAAACCTACATCGCCGTTATCTACGTCGCCGTTCGCGCGTCGACGGCACCTACCGTTGTCTCAACTCGCCTTGCTCTGATGCAGTCATCGTGCCACCGGGCGGAAAGCTGAGTAAAGAACACAAGGACTTGCCAGGCCACGGCAGACTTCCGCCGCGCAAAGCCTCTCCGAAACCCAGACCCGAGGCACGGCCCGAACAGCGCAACCCCTCCTGAGACCATGGTGGCCCGTACTTCAGCGGCTGAACCTGTACTCCTCCTCCGCCTGCCCCTCCTCCTCCTCCTCCAACTTCTCCTCCTCCTCCTCCTCCTCCTCCTCCTCCTCCTCCTCCTCATCATCATCATCATCCTCATCCGCCTCCTCCTCCTCCTCCTCCTCCTCCTCATCTGCTTCCCCCTCCTCCTCATATGTTTCCTCCTCCTCCACCCTCCTCCTCTCTCTTCCACCTCCTCCTCCTCCTCTTCCCCCTCCTCCTCCTCCTCCTCCACCTCCTCCTCCTCCTCTCTGCCTGCTCCTCCTCCACCTCCTCCTCCTCCTCATCTGCTTCCCCCTCCTCCTCATATGCTTCCTCCCTCCTCACCTCCTCTTCCCCCTCCTCCACCTCCACCTCCTCCTCCTTTTCCCCCTCCTCCTCCTCCTCCTCTCCTCCTTCCTCCTCCTCCTCCTCCTCCTGCTCCTCTCCCTGCCCTCCTCCTCCTCCTCCCTCTCCTCCCCTCCTCCTCCCTCTTCCTCCTCCTCCTCCTCCTCCTCCTCCCTCCACCTCCTCCCTCCGCTCCCCTCCCCCCCTCCTCCTCCTCCTCCTCCTCCATCCTCCTCCTCCTCCTCCTCCTCCTCCTCCTCTCCTCCTCCTCCCCTCTCCTCCTCCTCCTCCTCCCCTCCTGCTTCCTCCTCCTCCTCTCCTCCTCCTACCTCCTCCTCCTCTCCTCCCCTCCCCCTCCTCCTCCTAGCTCTTCCTCATCCTCCTCCTCCTCCTCCTCCTCCTCCTCCTCCTCCTCCTCCTCCTCCTCCTAATTTTATCCTCCTCCTTCTCCTCCTCCTCCTCCTCCTCCTCTTTACCAACCGAAAGGCGGCCGGCGCTCCTAGCGCGGGCTCTGTGAGCCCCGGCGGCAGGCCGCTGAGCCGGCGCGCGAACGCCACGCCGGCGGCTGAGACGCCCATCAGGCACACGCCTGCACGACGCGTGTTGTGACGATAGCGGAAGACAGATTCGCCGCGGGGCAACTTCAAGACCAGCATCCGCCGCGAAGAAGGATTGTGGAGAGGACGACCAAAGAGGCTCGACGACGACGACGACGCCCACGAGCAGGCCTGAGACCCTATGCTCGCCCAATGTGCTGCTGCGTGACGGCTCCGTGGACATTTCTAATCGTCATCATAAGTCAAATCTGGAGAGGCGATGAAAACATCGCAACGGCGAAGACGGCGACCGACACTCACGAGCAGACCTGGAATCCGAGTTGTGGATCATGGCCCGGTGCACTGCTGCATTAACGGCCCACGGGCAGGTCTACAATGGAGGCTGGTCCACAAGAAACCTTCCACAAAAAACCCAACCCTGAGACCCCAGGACGTCCATTGATGTTTGGCGTGGGAACGTCACGTTTTCCAGCGCAAAAACATCGAAACCCAAGAAACCCAGGGCACCCCGGAGGCAAGCAGGGTGTGTCTTGGCATGGGACGGGTGAGGCGCGGGAGAGCGGGAGTGGGGGGGCGAAGATACACCTGCAACGGCTACAAATCGTAGAGGTCTTGAGGAATAAACGCCCCCCGAGTGCGGGGGGATGCGCCACAGTGCGATAACCCATCACCCGCTCCATGCAAACAACTTCGGATGAATTTTGGCCAATGTCGAAGCGGGCCCGAGGCTCCATAGGCCAAAACTCTTCCGCAAATGGTTCCAGTCAGCAAAGGCGCTGGACAATAACGGAAACGGACAACGGAACAACCGATCGGAAACATCATTCCATTGTTTAATTTCCAACTTCCGTTTTCCGGAATCTGGTCTCCATTTTCCGGATTGTTTGTTCTGTTTTCGGATTGCCGTTTTCCGCTTGCCGGTTGCCGTGTTCCGCTTTCCGTTGCCAGTCTTCCATTTCCGTTCTCCGTTTCCTGTTTTTCAATTTCCAATTTCCGTTTTCCGTTTTGCTATTTCCAATTTACAGTTTGCGGCTTCTGCTGGAATGAACGTCGGGGCTTCTAAGTGGATAGATCGGTTTCAAGTTGACGCCAAGGTGGTTTATCTGGCCCAACCTGGCCTATAAGTGAGTTGCAAGTGCGTTAAATAGCTTTGGGGGGTTAGCGACCTGGACTAAGTGGGCTCCGCCCACTTAGCTGAGTTATCTAGCCCCCCTAAGCCACTCGGGGCACGTGTAACCCACTTATAAGCCAGGTTAGGCCAAATATGACCCACCTTAGCATCCGCTTGTAACCCTCCTATCCATTTAGAATCTCTCACTGTCATCCCAATGGTTTCCGTTTACTGGTTTCCGTTTTCCGGCTCTCCGTTTTACAATAATTTCCGGCTTCCGGTTTCCGCTGACTCTTTGACGTTTGTTGGTTTTAATGTTCCGGTTTACGTTTTCTGTTTTCCGATTTCCGCTTTCGTTTTTTCCAATTTCTGACGGCCTTCGAAAATCCCTCTTCAAGAGAATTATCAGGGGCGCCCGCGAGGGGGAGCGCAGACAGACCTTTGAGCTTCCTGCCCAGAGACGACCCCGAAATCGCATCGCCAGCACGCTACCGAGCGACCTTCAAGATGCCCCCAGAGGCTCCCCAAGAGGTTCCGAGGACGTCCAGAAAGGTCAGAAAAACAGATCACGCGGGAAGGCCAGCAAAGCGCGCTACCACGTCGAGATCCCCAGGAATCCAGGCATGAGTCTCTGCCCCTTACAGAGTACCCAGTATCTACGACACCGCATATAGAGATGCAGAAGAAACCTGAGGACACTTCACTCGCTGTTTCCTGCGCTGTTGCGGAAACTGCTTTTTCTGCGGTGTACGGGCGCAGTTCGTAAGTGGCTCACCACGAGGAACAGTGAGCTGAGGGAGCAGTTTTAAGCCAGCGGTGTGTGAGGATCTTGTGGGAGCAATTTTAGGCCAGGGAGTGGGGAATATTTCGGGTGCAGTTGTTAACCAACGGCGGGGGTGAGGATATTTCGGGGGGCAGTTTTTAAGGCACGAGTGGGTGAGGACATTTCGGGGCAGTGTTTTCTGCGGATGAGGATATTACAGGGGGGCTGTTTGAAGCCAGCGATCGATGATATGTCGGGGGCAGTTGAAGCCAGCAGGATGCTTCACATTGCTTTACATTGCTTTATGCGTTGTTTTGAGTTGCGTTGTTCTACATTGCGTCGGAGCGAGAGTGACGGGGAGGAGGCGGAGGTAGGCGTAGGAGGAAGAGGAGGAGGACGACGAGGAGGGAGGAGGAGGCGGAGGACGAATTAAGCCACGGGGGGTGGGGTGAGAATATTTCTGGGGGAGGCACTCGTGGGTGAGGATGTTTCGGGGTAGTGTTTGAAGCCAGCGGGTGAGGATATTTCAGGGGAAACGTTTAAGTCAGCAGGCGATGCTATTTCGGGAGCAGTTGAAGCCAGCACATTGCTTTGCATTGCTTTGCGTTGCGTCGCTTTGCTTCGCATTGCTTTGCATTGCTTTGCTTTGCATTGCATTGCTTTGCATTGTGTTGCGCTGCTTCGGAGGAGGGGGAATGACGGGGAGGAGGGGGAGGTAGGCGTAGGAGGAAGAGGAGGACGACGACGACAAAGAGGGAGGAGGAGGCGGGGGACGAGGATAGAGAAGGAGAGGGAAGAGGCGGCGGCAGGAGGAGCCAGCGGTGTTGAACGACTGGGGGGTGCGGAGGGATGAGAGGGAGGGCGGAGGACCAATGAGGGGAAGGAGGAGGACGAGGAGGAGGAGGAGGAGGAGGAGGAGGAGGAGGCAGAACCGGGGACGAGGAGGGAGGAGCCGAGAGGAGTTGTGCTCGGTGCGGACCTCCTAACGCCGTGCGACGCAGTAATTGGGTCTTCGCTCGGCTGCCCCAGCCGATGACCACGCGTCCAGCGCGGTGCTGCGCCCGCATATTGCCTACGGAGCCTCGCCCCGAACTTCGCGCTGCGTGCAATTCTTACCAGCCTGGAACCTATCCCTATCCCTATGTTGGGCATCGCCTCGTCACGATGGCGATCGAAGGATTCCCTCAGTTTCTGAGGGTGCATCTCTAAGATTGTCATCGCCTTTTGGCGTGCCAATCTCAAGGATAGGGATAAGTTCGAGGCTGGTTAAATTCAATAGGTCCTTCTTGGACGTATCGTCACTTGCTTTTGTTCTTGGGGAACGTCGGGCTCCATAGGTCCTGCTCTGCTTCCGACTTCTGGTTTCCGTTCGCGGGCTCCTGATTTTCTTCAAAGGTGCGGTTTCCGCTTTTTGGTTTCCGTTTTCCGGCTTCGGGCTTCCATTGTCCGCTTTCCGCTGTCCATTTTCCGTTTCCCAATTTCTGGTTTTCGGCTTCCCTTCTCTGGCTTCCGCTTTCCGGTTTCCGGTTTCGGGTTTCGGATTTTGATTTCTGGCTTCCCATTTCCAATTATGGTCTCTGCCCCAAAAATTCCCTCGCTTCCCGCTTTCCGTTTTCCGGTACGGGCCCTCGTCCGAGGACCTCCCCGCTCTTTCTTTTCCGCTCTCCGTCTTCAGGTTTCCGATTCCGGTCCCTGCCCAGGGAGTCTCCCTCTTTGGGCGCCCGAGTTATCCGGGGTAACTCGGGTCCGGGGTAAGTCGGGTTTGGATTCCCGAAAAACGAACCCGAGTTACCCCTGACCCGAGCTACCCCTGATGATTCGGGGCTCTGACCTCTTTCTCTTGTTCGCTTTCCGCTTTCCGATCTCCGCTCTCCGTCCCTGCGCGGGCGGCCTCCCGCCATTCATTTTTTCTGGTCTCCGCCTTCCGTTTGCCGTCTTCTGCTTCCGGTGTCCGCCTTCCCCCACAGCCGGCGGCGGAACCATCTCTTTCGGTGACCTCCCATATAGGCCATGGGTCCCGCTGGCTGCCCTCTGCAACGCCGAATGATTCAGCCAGCAGCTGTCAGCCCGAAGTTCCGTCGAGCAGAGCCTCGTTCCAGCATCGAGACAGAGGTCACAGAACTGCCAAGGCTTCCGACTCCGACTCCGACGACTCCTCCTCCTTCTCGGGCTCTGATCCCGGACAGCGCGTCCCGAAAAAATCGAGACGGGAACCTCTGGGCCATGTTCGGCCTCGAGGGACCTAGCCGTGCCCCCGAGACCGTCCAAAAACGAGTCGGAGTGAAAAGCAGGTCCCGGGGGAGGGGCCCGAACCTCGAGAGGGGCCATGCTGTGTTAGAAAGTCACGACGTCGATGGTCTGGGCTTCTTCTGCTCGGCTACTCGCCCCCCCCCTTCTGCCCAATGCACATATCGAAAGAATTACCCCAGTTTGCCCTCCGGCCAACGTCGCGTCTCTTCCTCCTCCTTCTCCTCATCACCCTCCATCTTCCTCATCGCACCCTATCTTCCTCTTCCTCCTCCTTCTCCTCCTTGTCCTCCTCCTCTTCGTCGTCAACCTTCTCGTCATCCTCAACCTCCGTCTCATCCTCCACCTCATCCGCGTCCTTCTCATCTCGCGATCTCGGGGCAACCAACGACTACCCAAACATCCGATTACCTGTTCTTGTTCAGGGCTCCCGGGAAGCCCCGACCTTTCGGGTCGGGGGAATGAGCGAATCAGCTCACGTAGCTGGTTTGACCCGCGCCTCATGGCGCCAGGGGCGCCAATGTATCGAGGCAAGCGCCTGGCGGCGGGGCCGAAACAGGTTACACGCAGCAGACTTCCCCTCCCCCCCCCCTGCCCATACCCTCGAAGAAGAAAAATCGCCGTAAACATTCACTGTTGGCGCTCTGCGCGGATTTCTTGGTTCTGCGCTGGAGACGGCCTCCAGACAATTTGCTAGAGACGGCCTCCAGCACCTTCGTCTTGCTCTGTGTAAAACGTGGGTGCAAAAGAACAAGAAAATACGAACATCTACATAACCAGACCCCCGACGTCCTGAAATTTTCATGACGCGGACCCCTGGCGGTCTGGACCCACTGCCCGGCACCGGTTCCTCATCCCGAACCGTTCCTTGACTGCCCCGAGGCCCGGTCCAGGGCCGCAGAGGCCGAACTTTGCGAAACACCTGCCGTCGCGATTTTTCAGCCCTCGAGGGGGTCTGGGTCTCGCCATCGCTCGGACGTCCATTTTCTGTGCTTTTTTGGTTTCGTGCGTGGTTTTTTCGCGAAATGATCAAGGATGCTCCTCGATGGTCCTCGCCGAAGGAAACATGCACACGTCCGAGCGATGCCAAGGGGTACACATGTCAGCTGTGGGAAGTCCGCGGGAATTTCTCGGATCGACGCTGCGCCCCCACCTGGGAGCCCAGCGCCGACCCCAAAGACATATGCGCGGGCCTCGGAAGCTTGTGCTGATGATAGGTGTTTCTCCCCGCTCGTGGCCCCAGACACCTGCCGTCCTTCTTTGAAGGGGCCCCAGGACACACAAATAAATACACACCAATAAAACTATTCCCCATATTTTCCCATGTATTCTAAGGTTCTGTCTTCCCCCCCACTTCCCATATTTTCCCATATTTTCTGGGGAATCGAGGATCAATTGTGTCTGTGTGTTTCTTTCCCTCCTGAGATATGTGTTCTTCCCCGATCGTGGCCCCAGACACCTGCCGTCCTTCTTCGTTCCGACGTCGGCCAACGGGGGTCCCTGAAGTCCAGCCCCTCTCTTTCCCGGGCCGGCGTCTCGTCTCCCGAGCCGCTGTCTGACAGTCCGAGGGCCCGGCGAGGGCCCCTGGAGGCCGAGAGCTGCCGAGAACCTCCCGTCGTGGTCGTGGCTCATGGCGAGAGCGTGTCTGGGATTGCGGCCTGACTGCTTTCTCAGAGCGAGCGGGCCGAACGGTCATTCGTGGTCCCTGGGCGCGTGGCAGACGTGGCGTTCTGTCTGTTGGACGATGCCTGCCGTGCTGCTGCCGCGCTGTCGCCGTCCTCGCGCGCGACCCACCCCGCGACCCACCCCGCGACCCACCCCGAGACCCACGCCGGCGATCCACCCGCGACCCACCCCGCTCCCCGCCCCCTTACCCTTACCCGCAGGGGCCACTGGCGGGGTACTCGCCCGCCGCGGCCCGATCCCCGCACGGCCCCCGCGCGGGCGCCGGCCTACGAAGGAGTCGAGCCAAGCCTGCAGCCCGCCCGGCTTCCGCCCGACCACGAACATCCCCAGGAAGAGGTAGAGGCCCGCCCGGCCGCCCAGCCCGGACAGGAAGGGCGCGTTCTCGCTGATCAGCGGGTGCGGCCGGATCTCGGCCGACACCCCTGCCCGCGAGCGGCCCGCACATCCATGCCGGAGCCCCGAGGGGCGAGAGGACTTTTTTGCGCGCGGGTCGAAGCGCGTTCCACTCCCCGCCCTCCGCGGCGGGAGTCTGCGCGGTGTCCTGGCTCCCGGGGCCCTGACCATGCCCCCTTCCCCTCGCGGTGCGTACGCCGAGGCGGGACCCGACGGGCACGCGATCCCGTGGGCACGCTCCGCGCGGGGCGTCCGCGCAGAAGCCGCCCCGTGGTCCAAGGGGGTCGTGGCCGACGGTCTGGCCCGCGAGGCCGCGGACATTGAGGAAACCAAAAGATATCGACACCTCTGCTGCGCAACTCCCCACGGGAGGCGCTGTGACCAGAACTTCGAGGCGAATCCAGCCGTGGCGACGAGGGCCTTCCGAGGAGGCCCTAGAAGACAAGGCGAAATCGAGGAAGGGGTATCTCTACCCCTCCCTCCTCCGAAGCATGGAGATGTCCCCCGCCCGCGAACCTGCCGCGCCCCCAACGCCCATGAGCAGGCACTCGGCGAGCGCGTGCGCCGCCGTGGCCAGCTCGCCTCTCGCCAGCGCGGCCGCGGCGTCTGCCACGAACGCGAGCGCCGCGCACACGCACAGCAGCGCGCACACCAGGCCCCCAGCCAGCCGGAGCACCGCCTGCGAGGAGCGCATGGGCCGCTGCGCCCCGGGGCGCGCGGGGCGCACCGCCGGTGCGGTGCCGAGCCTGGGGCCGGAGCCAGGCTGCGAAATGACCGCGAACTTACGTTAGGAGGCAAATGCTGGGAGGTCTTCGTCGGGAAATTAAGGAGGATTGAAGCAGAAGCGTCTCATAAGCCTGTCATAAGCCTCTCGAAAGCCTTTCAGAAGCCTCTCAGAAGCCTCTCATGAGCCGTTCAGGAGCCTCTCAGGAGCCTTTCAGAAACCCCTCGGAAGCCTCTCAGAAGCCTCTCATGAGCCGCTCTGAAGCCTCTCAGAAGCCTCTCATAAGCCTCTCAAAAGCCTCTCACAAGACTCCCAGAGGCCTCTCAGAGCCTCTCAGAAGCCTCTCAGAAGCCTCTCAGAAACTCTCAGAACCTCTCAGAAGCCTCTCAGAAGCCTCCCAGAAGCCTCTCAGCAGCCTCTCAGAGCCTCTTAGAAGCCTCTCAGAAGCCTCTCAGAATCTCTCAGAACCTCTCAGAAGCCTCTCAGAATCTCTCATGATCTCTTTCAGAAGCCTCTCAGAAGCCTCTGTTTCTCAGAATATATCATGATCTCTCTCTTTCTTTTTTTTTGTTCTCTCTCTCTCTCTCTCTGGAAAGCCTATCAGAGGCCTCTCAGACATTTGTTTCAGAAGCCTCTCATGATCTCTCATAATAGATCAGGATCTCTCTCAGAAGCCTCTCATAATATATCATGATATCTCCCAGAAGCCTCTCTCTGCCTCTCAGAATCCCTCATGATCTCTCTCAGAACCTCTGAGAAGCCCCTCAGAGCCTGTCAGAAACCTTTCAAAATCTTGCAGGATCTCTCAGAAACCCATCAGAATCTCTCATAACCTCTCACGATTATTCAGAATCTCTCGGAATCTGTCAGGCTCTCTCAGAGCCTCGCAGAATCTCTCAGAACCTCTTAGGATCTCTCAGAAGCCCCTCATAATCTCCCAGAATCTTTCAGCATCTCTCAGAATCTCTCAGAGTCTCCCACAGTCTCGCAGAATCTCCCAGAGTCTCTCAGAGTCTCTCAGAATCGCTCAGAATCTCCCGAAGTCTCTCAGAACCTCTCAGAATCTCTTAGTATTTCTCAAATTCTCTCAGAAGAATCTCTGAGAATCTCTCAGAGTCTCTCAATTTGTTGCAGAACCTCTCAGAATCTTTCAAAATCTCTACGATCTGACTGGAAAAGAACCCAGTTTACCGGGAAATGCCCCAGTTTACCGGGACAACGAATGTTTTCGACTCAGGAATAGCGCTCTCGCTTGGATACCTCCTCACAATTTAACAACTTCGGGGATGGCCGAACGGCTCTCGACCGATTCTAATTCGCAAGGTCTTGCGCTGCTCTCGTGCTGGCGAAAGGGAGGAGGATAGGGGAGGGGGGGGGGGGGAGATGAGGATGGGAATCGGAGGCGGAGGAGGGGGATGGGTGCTCGAATGCAGCACCGTGTACTCGTCTGTGCCATCCATGTACCACGCATGTGCCCCGTACGCCTGGTGAACGCCAACGGCCGCCAGTGACCGCGACAACCTGTACCTGGTACTCGAGGCGGTCCTGCCGCCGATCCCACTAGCCTCACAATTCGCACGCATTCGTTTGCCTCCATGGCACACCCAACAATCATGCCGACGCATGGACCAGAAACCACAACGTCGTTGATGTAGAACTCTTTGCCATCAAGGCGCACGCCGCACGCCCCTGGCGATGGCGGCAGCGGGGTAATCAGGCAGGGACCCTCGGGGGCCAATGAGGCCGCTCGCGAAGTGCAGCCCGCCTGCGGCCAACTGGTTATACTTCTTGGTCAACAACGGGCATGGGACCGACCGCTCCCAGACTTCCGTGTTCTTGACCGCCTCCGCAACCTGTGTCACGCGTGAGCTCAGGCGCTCGACGACGAACATGTCGGCTTGGTTGCCCAGGCTCCTGAAAATGCATCAAGTGAGGCGCTTGCTTCAGTATCCCAAGGGGGATCCGCCAGAGATGGTTGCACGGCCCCGTTCGCGCCCAGATTGCGGGGAGGTCTCAGGCAGTTTGCCTTTTTTGGTTGCTCGGTTCGCGCCCAGGGTGCGGATGTATCGAGCGACGCGCTCGCTTCAGCAGCCCAAGGGGCCCAGATTGTGGGGATGGAGCGGTTTGCTGGTGACACCCATCTCTGGGGGGCGGTGGGCGCAGAAGGTAGAGGACGAAGGCTGACGAGGACAGGGCGAGCATGCTACGGCAAGGCTGCATCGCTGCAGCGCGTTTCCTCGCGCCCCCCCATCCCTTCCGCACCGTGCGCCCATGAAGCGTCGCCCCCGTCGTCATAGGTCTGCGCCGCAGGCGGGCGGCGCTGGGCCGCCACGCAACCAAACCGCTCGAGCCACGCCCACGATCTGGGCACGCGGCTTCCCCCTGCGAGGTGTTTATCAACCGGCGCCCCGCCGGAGACACCTTTGAGGCCTGCTCGGGACGCAGCAGGGAGCCGAGGCATCCAGACAGTGCTGGCGCCGGCGGCGAGGCAGGGGACGCCTGCGCTGGCGAGGGGCTGCCCAAACCCTAAAAACGGAAATGCCGCTAGAGCGAACAGAGGCATCCAAACAGGCAAGCCGCCGAATGCATCCCCGCACTCTGGGCACGGACGGGGCCGTGCAGCCGCCCCCGGCGGCTGCCCATCGAAGGGCGGACGCCGGCGCCTCGCCTCGAGGCGTCCCCACGGGCCGCGAGTCCAGTCTGCGAGTCCGAGTGCGGGTGGCGCTGGGGATGAGCGGGTCTGCGTGGGAGCGGTTCTGCGTACGGGTGTGCCAGAGCGGGGCGGAGTTCTAAAATGCGCGAACACGAGTGTGAGTCTGGGTGTGCATCTTCCTATAACACCTCCCTTCGGGAGATGAGGGGGTTGGGTGGGGTTGGGGGGAAGAACCAATCAACTGCGATGGGTGTGATGATGACGATGTTGGTGACGCGCCCTGGAGTGAGCCACGGCACGTGATGACATGTTGCGCAGCGATGTGATGTCACTACCGTCCCCGATTTCGATCTCACTCGATCGATCCCGCTATCGACCTCGCGGCCAGTCTTGGTATCAATGGTTTCAGCGGTCGATCCCACAATCGATCCCACTGGCGATCTCACAATCGATTCCTCGATCGATCCCACTATCGATCTCACAACCAATGCCACAATCAGCCTCACTGTCGATCTCATGTTTGATCTCACTGTACATCCCACTCTAGCAATCTCATTATCGATCTCACAATCGACTTCACTATCGGTACCCGGGCTGGACAACCCCGGCCAACGCCCGCCCACCGCCGACGGAACACTGACGGGACACCCACGGGCACAGGACACCACGGCGAGACACCCCGGGCCACCGGGCGCCCACAGGGGCGGAGGGGCGGTCCACTGCATCCGAATCGACCTAACGACGACGGGGTCAGTCCTCTCGCGCGCCCACGCAGCTTCGCCTCGGTCGCACGCTCGGTCGAAATCGATTTCCCAGTCGGGAGCTCCCCGTTCCACTGGGATCTCACCCCTTAACCTCCGATGATGGAGTCTGAGTGTGAGCGACTCTAAGTGTGTCTGAATCTGAGTGTGACTGAGTCTGACTGTGAGTGGGCCCAGGTGCGTGTGAGTCTGAGTGTCTGTGAGTCTGAGTACAGGCGAGTTGGAGTGTGAATGAGTCTGGGTGTGGGTGAGTATGAATTTGAGTGAGCCTCGGCGTGAGTGAATCTGAGTGCGAGTGGTCTGTGTGTTAGCGCATCTGAGTAATTATGAGTGCGTACGAGGTGCGTATGAATGTGAATTGGCCTGGATGTGACTGCACATGGGTGTGAGTGAGTCGGATCACGATGGAGGAGGCGGGAGAGAGTGGGATGGGGGGGGGGCGGGGGCGTCAGAATAACAAGCATACCACCTGAGACATCCTCACAATCTGGGCGCCACGATTTGAGTGCCTCCACCCATGGCGCCCCCTCCCTCCCTTAGGGGTGCTGAAGCCAAAGTCTCGCGTGAAACATCCTCGCAATCTGCTCCGGTCGCAGAAAAATCTGCGGAGGCACAACCCGCGACCCGCTTGAGACATCCCCGATCTCTGGGCGCGAACAGGGGAGTGTAACCACCCCTAGCGTCACCTTTGGGTGCCAGAACCAGCACCTCGCTAGAGGCATCTTCACAACCTGCTCCGATCGCAGGAGATGATGGGAAAGCTAAACGAGCAAACTGCCTGAGACACCCCCGTAATCTGGCCGCGAACAGGTCGGTGCAACCACCCGTGGTGGCTCCGCCTTGGGGTGCTGGAGCGAGCTCATCGCTCGAGGCATCCTCACATTTCTGCAAATCTGAATGTGCGTGAATCTGTGCGTGAGTCTGAGTGCGAGTGAGTCTGGTTGTGAGTGAGTCTGAGTGTGGGAAAGTGTGGGCGTGCATGGGCATGCATGTGGGCAAATCTGAACGCAAATAAGCGCGAATCTGAGAGAGTCGGAATGTGAGCTGGTGCGGGTGTGAGAGAATCGGGGTGTGAGTGAGCCTGGGTGTGGGTGACTCTGAGCATGATAGGTCTGACTATCGCTGTGTGAGCGCCTGCGCATGATGCGTCTGACTAACCGAGAGTCTGAGTATAAGCGAATCTGAGTGTGAATCGCCAACAAACCAGTCTGGGTATGAACGGGCTTGGGAGTGAATGTGAGTGAGTCTGCGTGCGGGTGAGTACTAGTTAGCGGGGGCGGAAGGAGACGGAAAGGGAGGAGGTGCTATATAAGAAGGCGGAAGCGTCAGACAAGTAACAAGGAACCATCTTGGTGCAGGGGGAATTCCAATAGAGGTAGATGCAGGTATTGTTGATGGGGGAGGGATGAAAGGGAAACACCCTCACTCATCATCCCCCATATTGTTCACAACCCTTACTCATGTTCCTCATACCCTGTCGTACTCCGCATTCGCCGTTCGTCGTGTTCGCTTCGCCCTCGTCCCCCATAGTCTCGTGAATCGCCCGTTCCTGCACCTTCCTCATTGGCAGTGTCCTCTCTCGTTCGTCACATGCGCCCTCCAAGGATGAGGAGGATGGGCGGTGACGAGGGGAGGGTGGGACAAAAGCATGCGGGGAGATGATGATGAAACCGACGAAGACGATGATACTGAAGCGGAGGCGGAGGAAGCAGAGGGGGAGGATCATGTACATGGCCATCCTCCTCCTTCTGATGAGGATTAAGTTGTCGATGGCACTGATGATCCAGATGCTGCTTATGATGAGGATAATGCGTCTGATGATGATGCTGAAGAAAACGAAGACGACGGTGATGATGAGGACGATGCAGGTGAATATGGAACCCATACATGAACATGATGATTATAATGACGGTGATCATCATCATCGTCATCGCCATCATCATCACAATCACCATCACCACCATCAGCATCACCCTCAGCACCAGCATCATTAGCATTATCATGAAGATGCCGATAATGGCAGTGATGATGATGCTGCTGCTGCAGTTGCTGCTGTTGCTGCTGATGATGGTGATGCTGATGATGATGGTGCTGATGATGGTGATGATAATACTGCTGCTGCTGTTGCTGATGACGACAGTGGCACATGGGATGATGATGATACTGATGCGGATGACGATGATGATGATTATGATGCTGCTGATGACGAGGATGGTGATGGTTATGATGATGATGGTGATGATGGTAATGTTGATGATGATGCTGATGATGTTGATGATGATGATGATCCCCGGGTCTGAAGGGGTCAGGAGCTCCTATTGTTGATAATGATGATGACCTGATGCTGATGCTGTTGCTGATGCTGATGCTGATGATGATGATGATGATGATGATGATGATGATGATGATGATGATGATGAGGGGGCCCTCCTGGAATCCATGAGGGGTCCTCCAGAAACCCTTTACGGGCCTTATTGAGATCCTGAAGAAGCCATTCTGAAACCCTGAATGAGGGACTAAGGATTTACTTCGCGAAGACACTTAGACGTGTGTCCTAAGTGATTGGCAGCTCGAGCTAACCACTAAGCTAAATTCTTAGCTTAAACATCAAGCAGACTTAGAAGAGGCTTCTCTCAGAGACTGAGAAGACAATTGTTAAATCTTTCGCAAGTGTACTCAGAAGAGACTTCGCAAGTCTAGCTGAACACATGTCACAAGGCGAGCTAAGTACTCAGCGAAGTACTTGGCTTCGACTTGGAAGCACACTCAGACAAACACGAGCAATCTACGAGAAAGTCTTAGCTGAGCACTCTCCAGGAGGCTTCTGCGTACGCCAAGCACTTAGCAAATCTGCTAAATACCTGCAGGAAGCTTGAACCACCACCAAAGGAGGAGGAGGAGGAGGAGGAGGAGGAGGAGGAGGAGGAGGAGGAGAAGGAGGACGAGGAGGAGGAGGAGGAGGAGGAGGAGGAGGAGGAGGATGAGGATGAGGAGGAGGCGGAGGAGGCGGAAGAGGAGGCGGAGGAGGCGGAGGAGGCGCTGGAGCCCTCGCCGGCCCCCGGATCCGTCAGGGCTCGCGGCCCTGGAGGTTGGACAAGCTGGGCCCTCGGACGTCTGGGCCCCTCCCCGACCAGCCACGGCTGGACGGCCGGGGGAGCTGCGTGCTGCCCCCCCCCCCGGGATGAGGAGCCCACCGCATTGGCAGTCTGTCAAAATCGGTACCGGAGCCGATGGATCCCCTGGGGGGGGGGGGGGGGGGGGGGGGGGGAGGAGGAGTGCAAAAAAACCCAGGATTGCAAAAAACATGAAATGCAAAAAAAACCGTTTTTTTTTGCAATCCGGTGTTTTTTTGCAATCCTTGTTTTTTTCAATCCTGGGTTTTTTTGCAATCCCAGGGTTTTTTTTGCAATCCTGGAACGCAGCAGCTCCCCCGATCCCCGACATTCGACAAGGGGCGCTCGACACCGTCTCCGCGGGCCCCCTCGGTCTCGACCCCTTTCCCCAGAAGTGAAGTCCCGCCCTAGTTCAATCATTCGGTTTTGCACAAAAGGATTGCAAAAAAACCCTTCGGGTTGCAAAAAAAACCCTTCGGGTTTTTGTTGCAATCCTTCCTTCGGGTTTTTTTGCAAGCCATCATTCGGTTTTGCAATCCTTCGGGTTTTTTTGCAATCCTTCGGGCATTGGGTCAGGAACCACAGGATGATGAATCTAGGCTCTGGAGGCTATGACCAATCCAAGATTGGTCATAGATGTCTGAAGCTTCCTGGGCGCATTCCTGAACCAGGGCCCCCACCGTATTGAATTGCCCCAGGGCCCGAAACAGGACCCTGGAGTAGAGGAAGCAAGAACTGCGTAAACATAAATCTTTCGGATGCCTCCTCGGTATTTTTGGATCGGGGCTGGGCCCCTCTCCATGGCGCGCGGAGCGCACCAAGGGCGGCGCCGCCACGGGGGCCCAGCGCCGATCAAACAAATCCGCGCGGAGCGCCGAAAGCATATGTTCATAAATCCCACCAGCCCTCTGGGCGTCGGTGGTTTAGAGCGTTTCCTCTTCCACCCCTCCTTCGTCCCCTTCGGGGAGCGGTTTACCCCTCCCCCTACCCCCTCCCCACTGACCTGGACAGGGGGGGCCGCGGGTAGTTAGAGCGTCCAAGATCGACTCCTGGGAAGGCTAAAATTCGACACCCCTCACGAGGATCGTGGCTCCTGAGGGGGGGGCTGTAATTAGGGAACCCCCCTTCGTTGATCGATCTCCTCCAAGATTGTTCCAAAAGACGTCTTGGACCCCCTCTTGGGCTCTGCGCGCGGGCGGGCGGAGCGCCGCCCGCCCGCCCGCAAGGCCCAAGAGCCCACCAAAACGTTCGAAGACACTTCCAATACGCCACCAGGGAGGAGGAAGAGGCGGAGGAGGAGGAGGAGGAGGAGGAGGAGGAGGAGGAGGAGGAGGAGGAGGAGGAGGAGGAGAGGAGGAGGAGGAGGAGGAGGAGGAGAAGGCGGAGGAGAAGGAGGAAGAGGGGAGGAGAACAGCTGCCGATCATCGGCGCTCTTCGTTCGAGTGCCTGGTGTAGGATGGGCTGGTGGGGATACTTTTTTTTTTACAGCCGCAGGCGGAAGCGCCAGCGGCGGAAGGTCGCGAACAAGCTGGTGGGGATACGCGAAGCGTCAAGAATTTGCTTTTCCCCTTCGACGGATGCCGAAATGGAAGAAAGAACAACCCCAGGATCGTAACCATCAGTCAACCGGAGGCTTGGGACTGCGGGCAGCCCGCCCGCATGGCCGCGGGCGATGATCTCCGCGGGCAGCCCGCCCGCATGGCCGCATGGCCCGCCCGCATGGCCGCGGGCAGCCCGCCCGCCCGCCCGCCTGAGGATCGTGATCTCCCGCAGGACGCTCACGGGGAAGCCGCCGTACAGCGGGTCCTTCTGGCCGAATGCGCCAAGCATCCACGCCCAACGCTCCACGAGACCCTCCGGACCACGCCCTTAGTGGGCCCTGGAAACGACAATGCCGTTTTTTTTACCGGTTCCGTTTTGCCGTTTTTTGCCGGTTCCGACGCCGTTTTTTTACTGGTTCCGTCGCCGTTTTTTCGACCGGTTCTGGCTCCGGTTCCAATCCTGGAGCCGTTTTTTCGCCGTTTCCGGTCGCCGTTTTTTTGCCGTTTCCATTTTCGAGGGACATTTTTTGGGGAAACGGTGAAAAAACGGCCCTGCCGTTTCCGGTGCCCACGCCCCGAACTCGGTGGACATACAGTGACCCGGCCCCAGGGCGCGAAGGGGGCCAGCTTCCCCCGGGCAACGCCCGAGCTCCGTGCCCAGGACAGCTCCGAGGCCTGCCCGGAGGCCTGGCGCTGGGGCGCCGACAGCGGGGGGCCGCACCCGCGGCCTTCCTGGACGAGCCTCGGGCTCTCCTCCTCCTCCTCCCTCCTCCTCCGCCTCCTCCTCCTCCTCCTCCTCCTCCTCCTCCTCCTCCTGCTCCTCCTGCACCAAGACCACTGCGCGCGAGCGAGCGGGGGGGGGTGGGGGACAAGGTGAGCCACCGCGCACCAATCGGGAGCAGCATGCCCTGGCAGGGCCCGGGGTCTCCGCGCAGACAGCCCGGGTGGAGGCGCGCGGCGGCTGGCGTCGGCCGCCCCCATCCCCAGGTAGGGTACTGGGATGACCGCAGTTGCTAAGTGGAGATGGGGGGGTCACACGCGCATGTCAAAGTGGTGATGCGGTAGAGGGAACCAAGTACTGGAACACTCCCCCTCCCCCCCAGAGTCAAAGTTGGCGCGCGCAGGGGAGACTGCGGTCGAGGTGCAACTCACCAGACCCACCGCCAACTTTGAACATCGGGGGGAGGGGGAGGCGCTGACAGATAAATGTGGCATATGCGGCATAAGTGTTCGCTGTTTTTGTTCCGAGGCCTGTATCTGGCCCAGCCTGGCTGGCCCAGCCTGGCATGTTTGTGGGTTGCAAGTATCCCCAGAGGCTCAGGGTGGGAAGATCAACTCCGCTGAGTGGGCGGAACCCAGTAAGCCCGGATCGCAAAGCCCTGGCCTTCGCTCATACCTCTCTTTGTCCCCCTAGCACCCCCCCCCGATCACCCCAGTAGACACACACGCACACACGATCACGTATGCATCTTTCTATGCGACCTGTTGGGGCAAATCCGTCGTCGATCCCTGAGAGTCTTCAGGTACTCCAGATTTCGTAATAAGAGGGAGGGGCTCTGGACCCTCCAAGACAAGCCATTTCAGGCCTCCCCCGTGGGAGAGCCCTCCAAAACGTCGTCCCCAGACCCCCCAGGCCCTCCAAGGTAGCCTGGAAGAGACCCCCCCCGAAACGAGACCCCCCTCCCTTTATTACGAAATCTGGAGTGCCCCAGTTCCTCTGTGGGCCCCTAGGGGGGGGCCAATGGGAGACGACAGACCTCCACGGGGCGCCTGCCGGCCGGCTGGCCTCTTCTCCGAGGCGCCCGCTGCAGTCGCGGGTGGTCTCTCTCGGCATCCCCAGCCCGGGGGCGCGGGGCGCCACGGAGGCACTGCCGAGGCGTGTCCGGGCAGCCCGGGGCTGCCCCAGGGAGTTCAGCGGACTGCTGCAGTCGGACATGACTGGAGAAGACACGCGAGAGGACGCAAGGCCCTTTCCGAGGGCCACGTTGCCACAGGAATGCGGACGGCGTGGGTCTGGAAGCACAGGGCACGAGTGTACCCTTGAGTTGGCAAGGTCGACTTACTAATCAAGCTCGACTGTAGCCTAGGCAGCCTCTGGAGGTTGTCCTCTGCGCAGCCCCGAGCCTTCCCGATACAAAGTCAAGCTGATGCCATGGGCCACAAGGAGCGCTCAACGAGAAGGGCCTGGAAGGCGTCATTCTCGGTATGGTGCGTGTGCGTGTGTGATGTCAGCATTTCATTGACTGCTCCTCTGCGAAGCAACTCCAGGGAAAGCTACGCCCCACTGCAGTTGAGTTGAAGCGATCATCATGTCAGGCCGCAGTGCTTGGCACTAGACGTGCAGCATGCCACGCGTTGCCACGCGTGCTGTCTCAGGGTTCACCGAAGAAACGAGCCAGAGCCATAGAGGAACAAACCATGGAGGGACCCAAGGGACAGCGGGCACTTCCGAACCGGAACTGCCCCTTGTTACAGCGTCTTGGCTGAAACATCGACCGTGCCCTTCTTGATCATCACTAACCCCTTCAGGAAGAGCTGGAAGGGCGGTGCTGCTGGTCACCTCTGGAGCCCACCCGCTCTCCTGGGTGGGTCCCCGACCCCCGTCGCAGAAGGCCGCTCGTGGGGCGCACGGGCCCGAAAGCCTGGCTCCAGGCGGCAGACAGACATAGGGGGAAAACAAACCTACCTCGCTTTTGACCACCCTCGCTTCCAAGAGATACCAAACGAGGCCAAACTACGGTCTGTACTGGTCAGGCCGCTTGACAAGGAGGCGCGTGGTATGACTTGGTTTTGCCTGGAAGCGAAAGCGGGGTAGGTAATTCACGCTCTGAAGACAGGCCTTGGGGGAACCCACATGTACCGATACCGCTCCTGCCGGGACCTCTCCCAGGGGGCGCTCGGACCAGCACCTCGAGGAGAAGCCGGCGGTGGCGACGAGGGCCTCCCGGGAGTGCACCTCTTCCTCCTCTGGGGCATGGCCGTGGCGGGGCTCGTCGGCACGGTCAGAGTGCTCCCATACTTCGCTCATCGGCAGCGCCTGCGGCCGCACGGACCGCCTGTGCGGCATCGGCGGGCCGCGCCAGGCGCGAGCGCAAGACTGCGTCTGGACACCCGGCGTCGTGACTGTCGCCAGACGGCGTCTCGCCAGGGGGCCTCGAAGTCGTGGGCAGCCGCCGCAGGGAGCCCGAGACCACCGCGCTGGGCCGCCCGATCCGTGAGCCCTTGTTCAAGAGTCGTGCTCTCGCCTCGATGCGGGCTACACTGTTTGGTCCCAGCAGCCACGATCCATGGCAGACTTCGCCTGGCGACAGACCCAACCAGTCGTGAGGACCGCGGTATCGTATTCGGTGGAGCCCCCATATGGGCCACGAAACGCTGTACTGGGCGGCGGGTGGCTGACACGCATGCGGCCACGGCCACTGGGGCTTCCGGCGGAGCTCTCTAGGGGGCAACGACACGCTGTACTGGGTGGGATGGGGGGGGGGGGGGACGCACGCGGGCACCGCCACCGGGGCCTCAGGTGGAGCTTCCTATGGGGCCACGACGCGCTGTGCTGGGTGGGGGAGACGCACGTGGACACCGCCACTGGGGTCTCAGGTGGAGCTCCCCATGGGGCCACAAAACGCCGTGCTGGGTGGGGGAGACGCAGGTGGACACCGCCACTGGGGCCTCAGGTGGAGCTCCCCATGGGGCCACGAAGCGCTGTCCTGGGTGGGGGAGATGCTTGTGGACGCCGGCGCTGGGGCCTTAGGTGGAGCTCCCCGTGGGGCCACGACACGCTGGGCTGGGTGGGGAACACGCGAATGGGCACCGTCACTGGTGCCTCAGGTGGAGCTCCCTATGGGCCCACGAAGCGCTGTGCTGGGTGGGGGAGACGCACGTGGACACCGCCACTGGGGCCGCAGGTGGAGCTCCCCATGGGGCCACGAAACGCCGTGCTGTGTGGGGGAGACGCATGTGGACACCGCCACTGGGGCCTCAGGTGGAGCTCCCCATGGGGCCACGAAGCGCTGTGCTGGGTGGGAGAGGCGCATGTGGACACCGCCACTGGGGCCGCAGGTGGAGCTCCCCATGGGGCCACGAAACGCCGTGCTGGGTGGGGGACACGCATGTGGACACCGCTGCCGGGGCCTCAGGTGGAGCTCCCCATGGGCCACGAAACGCCGTGCTGGGTGGGGGAGACGTCGGTGGACACCGCCACTGGGGCCTCAGGTGGAGCTCCCCATGGGGCCGCCCCTGGGGCCTGAGGTGGAGCTCCCCATGGGGCCACGGAGGGCTGTGTCGGCTGGGGGAGACGCATGTGGACACCGCCACTGGGGCCTCGAGTGAGAGGTGAACCGAAGTGAGGGGGGTGCCGGGACGAGGGATGGGGGGGAAGGGGAGGAGGGGAGGGACGCGGAGCCTGTCTCTGCAAAACGAGCACCCAACACCACAGGACGGCTGAGAAAAACACCAAAGGTGCCCGCGGCCGTGCTCCCACCCCTGCCCCTGTTGGCCGACCTCCTGCTCCTCGACCCGCCTCTCCACTGCTGCCGCTGCTTGGGGTGCTTTGCTGGGGCCATTTCGCGACGTGGCTCCCCAGAGGGACCAGCGCTGCATCCCAAGATGTGCTGTCTGATGGTCCCCGGGCCTGGCGGGGGCCACCGGAGGCCGAAATGAGCGCACGTCCTCTATGAGGAGGGCGCTTTCCACCACCACCACCACCAGAAGCTGGAGGGGGGAAGGAGGAGGAGGGCGAGGAGGAGGAGGAGGACGAAGAGGAGGAGGAGGAGGAGGAGGAGGAGGAGGAGGAGGAGGAGGAGGAGGAGGAGGAGGAGAGGAGGAGGATCACCCCCCCCTCCAACTTATGGTGGTGGTGGTGGGGGTGGAGAACACGCCCATCACTCCTTCGTCCAAGTTCTGTGGGGTACCTGTGCTGGCGGCGCGCGCAAGGGGGGGGGGGGGCTTCGAAGGAGGCAGGGTGGCCTCTGAGGAAATCCGCCCGGCCTCCAGGAGGCCTTCTTCGAAGCCGCCGGTCCCTCTCTGGGAGAGCCGCCGCCTTTTGCTTTGGACGCCCGACATGGGTACGGTAAGAGGAGGAGGATGAGGATGAGGAGGAGGAGGAGGAGGAGGAGGAGGAGGAGGAGGAGGAGGAGGAGGAGCGGGGGAAGAGGACGAGGAGAGTGAGGATGGGGAGGAGGAGGAGGGGGAGGAGGAGGAGGAGGGTGCCTCCTACTTCAGATGGACTGCGTCCGCGGCGGCACCGACAGCGAGTCCCGCTCGACACGAGCAGGAAATGCGGTCGGTCTGTGCAGCCATGTTCTCCATCCCCTCCTCGAGCGCCCCGATCTGCGACGCCCCCGCGCTTGCTGGGAAGGCGGCCCCCTCGCGCCGGCGCGCGCGGCCACGAGCACGCCCAGACCTGCCACGCTCCTGGTCAAGTCGGCCTCCCGGGGCCGCTCTCGCGCGTCCGGCCTCCCGGGGCACACCTCCGGGGCCCAGGGCCATCAACCGTTTGTTTCTCAGGGGCCGCATGTTCTGCAGGCTCTGGCAGGACGTGCATGGAGGGGGGGGGGGCCTGACGAGGCCCTGAGGACACCCTGGACTTCATGCATGTCGGAACACACGCTTGCACGCCGTCTCGGCCCAGCACTGTTTCAGAAGGCGGCGGAGGGGGGAGGGGGCGAGGTTAAATCCCATACAAGTCAACTTGCTCGAGCTCATGGAACAACATGCTCTTACCATCCAGCGAAGCCCTGTGGCGAAGAAACCAGGTCCGGGCGCGCGGCCCGCGGCCGGGCAGCGCGCACCCTGGTAGACAGCCGGAAACAAAAATAGACACTTTTAGAAATTCTGTGCTTCCCGTTGAGGCGCCGTGCACACAGTATCTATTAGTATCTATTTTTAGAAATAGACGCTTTTAGAAATCCCACCAGCCCTTTTGGGCGTGAGTGGTTTAGGGAGCTCTCTCTGTTCTCAACCCCCTTTTTTCCCCTTCGGGGAGGGGTTTACCCCTCCCCCTACCCCCTCCCCTGGACCTGGAGAGGGCGGGCCGAGCGTTCTCAGGGGGGTCCATTTCGACTCCTGGGAGGGCCAAAAAACGACGACCCTCACAAGGATTCTGGCCCCGACGGGGGGGGGGGAGTTTGGCCCCTCTGCTCGTCTTTGAAACAGAAATCATTGATTTTACGATGGTTTTGGCCCCATTTTGGCCTTCTGAGGGGGCCGCGCTCATCTTCCCTCATAGCAAAATCATTGATTTTACCAAGGTTTTGGGCTCATTTTGTCCTTCTCAGGGGGCAGCTCTCACTTGCGCTTCTGAGGAGGTCGCAAGAGGCCCCAAGATGGCCCCAAGAGGCTCCCAGGAGGCTCCCAAGAGGCCTCCAAGAGGCCCCCAGGAGGCCCCCAAGCGGCCCCAAGAGGCCCCCAAGAGGCCCCCAAGAGGCCCCCAAGAGGCCCCACGAGGCCCCAAGAGGCCCCCAAGAGGCCCCCAAGAGGCCCCCAAGAGGCCCCACGAGGCCCCCAAGAGGCCCCCAAGAGGCCCCCAAGAGGCCCCCAAGAGGCCCCCAAGAGGCCCCAAGAGGCTCCAAGAGGCCCCCAAGAGGCCCCACGAGGAGCCCGAACGACTCACACCAGGACGAGGGGCCCGAACGACTCACACCACGAAGAGCCCGAACGACTCACACCACAAGGAGGGGCCCGAACGACTCACACCAGGACGAGGCGCCCGAACGACTCACACCACGAGGAGCCCGAACGACTCACACCACGAAGGAGGGGCCCGAACGACTCACACCAGGACGAGGCCCGAACCTCACACCAGGACCCCGAACGACTCACACCAGGAGCCCGAACGAACGGAAGAGCCCGAACGACTCACACCAGGACGAGAAACCCCAAACGACTCAAATCACGAGGAGCGCTTTCTCCCCCTCCTCCTCCGCCTCGTCCTTCTCCCGCTCCCCTCACAAGGGGGATGTGCAAGGAGGCGGGAGGAAGGAGGAACAGGGGGGATATGCGGGGCCAAGCGGACACACGCCAAAAAAAAACACGACTGTCGGCATGTTTCGCGAGAGTTGCCGCTGTGAGATGGGCTGGCGGGGATACGCGGTGCGTAAAGAATTATCGTGCTCCCGCTGAGGCCCGGTGGTCACAATATCTATTATCCCAGCAAAGCAACCTAACAGCGATGTGTAAAAGCATATATGCGTGCACCATCATTTAGATTCAGATGGCGATTTCATTAATATTCAACTCGGACTCGCATTGTAGACTTTTGCATCAAAGTCTGCAATCGACGGATGTGAGTTTAAACGAGCACTCGGTATCAACGAACGCAGTTTCAAATGAGACTCTGGCATCTACGTTCACTGCGTGCTCACGGAAGCGTTTGAAGTGGATGATGTGATGATGACCACGCTTGTTTAAAGTAGAGCTTATGTATCAATGAATGCTGCGTTTGATGGCTGCGTTCTTTCGAAGTGTTTTGTCGGACACGCACGAGGAACACAAATGAGTGCAGCGTACGGAGCGAGAAAACGGGCAAAAGCTGCAAGCTAAGGAGCATCGCAGACACTCGCAGGCACCGTGCCAACGCGGCCGAGCAGATCATTACCTTTGGAAGTAGTCTTCCAATGCTGCAGGCTGACAAGCACAGCGGGCATGGAGAGTTGGATCCATCACCTCTCCTGTTCGTCTTCTCGAAGATCGCGCCAGTCTGGCGGCGATCACAAGCGAACAAGCGCGGCAACCCTGCCGGCTTAAAAGCACCACAGAGACTCAGAGACAGAGTCCCCCCTCCTCTTCCACCTCATCTTCCTCCACCTCCGCCCTCCTCTTCCTTTTCCTCCTTCTCCTCCTGCTCGTCCCCTCCCTTATCTTCCCCCCCCTCCTCGTCCTCTTCAGCAGAGAAGCTGAGCGCGGTCGTGCAGCGCATCACTTTTGGAACTAGATCACGCCGGTCCGGCGGCGAACAGAAGCGGAAAACGAAGCAAACCTGCAGGCTTAGAAACACCGCACAGACTGGCAGACAGAGTCCCCCCTCCTCTTCCACCTCATCCTCCTTCGCCTCCGCCCTCCTCTTGCCCCTCCTCCTCCTCCTCCTGCTCGTCATCTCCCTTGTCTTCCCCCTCCTCCTCGCCCTGTCAGCACAGAGGCTGAAGGCGGCCACGCAGCGCAGCACTTTTGGAACTAGATCGCGCCAGTCTGGCGACGAACAAAAGAGGAAAGCGAGGCAAACCTGCAGGCTTAGAAGCACCACAGAGACTGGCAGACAGAGCCCCCCCCTCCTCTTCCACCTCATCCTCGTCGGCCTCCGCCCTCCTCTTGCTCGTCCTCCTCCTCTTCCTCCTGCGCGCCCTCTCCCCTCGCTTCCTCCTCTTCCTCGTCTTCCTCAGCAGAGAAGCTGTGCGCGGCCGTGCAGGGAATCACTTTTGCAAGTAGCATTCCAACACCGCAGGCTCAGAAGCACCGCGGGCAAGCAGGCCTGGATCCATCACCTCTCGTGCTCGTCTTCCAGGAAGTCGCGCCAATCTGGAGGCTGCCAAGAATCGATGGTGCGCCGGGATCCACCTCCGGTGCTGCCGCCGATGTCAAGGTAATCACCCTCTTTCGTGCGCGGACGACCATGTCCCAGCGCCACAATCGCCGCATTGCGGTTCTTGAGCAACTCGCCGCTCTCCCACTTCCGCAGTACATCCCAGTGCCTGCGAGTGAAAGTGGCATCGTCTGCAGGCTGACTAGCACCGCGACGCTGCACCTCCTGCCGATGGCGATAGAGCCGCTCACCTTCGTTGTAGCGCGCAATGGCCTCCGCCTTGTCACGATGGAGGCGGCGGCGCTCTTCCTGAGAGACCTGGTTGCGATCGGCGAGCTCTGCGGGTGCATCACTGGGCTCGACGTGCAAGGCTCGCTTGAGCATGTCAACGTCGAAGCGGCCGGAAAAGGCGAGGACCTCCCAGATCTGCTTCGCCCCGGAAACGCGTTGCAGATGCCGACACCATCGCTTGCGCTTTTGCTCTCTGATGAACTTACGGAGGCTGCCAATGCCTTGTTCCTTGCCCTTGCCTTTTCCCTTGCCTTTGCTCGCAGGCTGATCAGCACCGCGTTCCTGCTGTGCTGACGTTTTTCCCTTCGCTTTCCCTTTCTCGGCATCTCGGTTCTGCAGCTGAACCTGGAAGGCAGAACTTTCGCACTCCTCTCGAGCACGTTTGACAAGTTCCCCGCGCTCCTCCTCAGCAAGGACATGGCGCATGTTCGTAATGTTCTTGCTTCGGAGGAAGTCGTGGCGGATCCGCAGAACAGCCTGAATGGCCCGAGCAGTCTCTTCCTGCGACGCATAGGCTGCGTCGCAGTCATCGCCAGGCTGAGGAGCACCAGCGTCTGCCCTCTTCATGAAAAGCAGAAGGCTGAGCTGATGGAGAAGTTTGGGATCGTAGCTCTCCTCGTACATCTGCCCCCAGCACTCCCTCGTCCCACGATGCACTTCCTGCGCGCGCTGATGAACTTCATCGTCAAGCTCGTTGCGCTGCGGCGAAGGCGAGCGGCTCGGCATGGGTTGCCATTCTGGCGAAGGAGAACGGCTTGGCAAGGGTTCCCAGTCGACTTCAGTTTCGGCTTTGTCTGAAGCAGTATCGGAGACGACGAAACCTCCTAAGGCAATCTTCCGCTTCTTTGTCTCCTTAGGCTGA